TGGCGGGACCCCACGCGCGCCTTGGACTGGAGCGACCCCACGCGCGCCTTGGGATGCCTCCCTGGAGCCTCTGGAGCCTCGTAGAGGACTGGCTGGACCCCACGCATTGGGATGCCATTCTGGAGCTTCTTAGAGGACTGGAGGCCCTTGGGATGCCTCCCTGGAGCCTATCTGGAGCCTCGTAGAGGGCTGGCGGGACCCCAGGCGCAGCTTGGGATGCTACTCTGGAGCCTCTCTGGAGCCTCGTAGAGGACTGGCTGGAGCCCACGCGCCGTGGGATGCCTCTCTGGAGCCTCTTAGAGGACTGGAGGGACCTCTTAGAAGACTGGCAGGACCCCACATTGCTGTCCTGGAGCCACGCTGGAGACGTTGACCTCGAGCGTGACTACGCGTCTTGAACGGCGGAGAGGCGCGTGGACCTCATGGAGGTCGGGCGCTTTGCTTTCATGTGTGGCTGCATCACTGCTGACAGGTTTGGATATCACCTGATTGATTCTGCAGTACAGACCTTCCGAGGAGGTCCTTCATTCCGCGCACTCGGTTGGGGAAGCGCTGCGCACTTGCAAGCGCGGCTCGGCCGCAGGCCTGTCCGGCGCCACTGTTGAGCTGTACGGCGGCGCTCGAGTCACCCACCTTTGCTGTGAAATGCTGTGAACGTCGCCGCCTGCGCACAGACTCCACGCGCCGCGTGAGCTTTACCTATCTTTACGTAACGTCGATTACAACCAACACTATCGCGATTGCGTGCTATTATACTGGCCTTGCAGCCAGTTTCCGGCCCATGCTCCATGCATCTCCGTTCGCAAGCTGGCCCGCAGTGGCATGGCTGTCTGCTGTACCGTGCAAAACCAGCACCAGCCTGACCCCTCAAACTGTTGGCAGGCTTGTGCGGCTGCTTTCGCCTGTGGGCCTGCACCAGCACCAGCAAGGTGTAGCGGGACAGTCGACGCCCATCCGAGAGCAAGCGTGTGAACCCTGCGCATCCTCGACTGCAAGGGGAGGGACGGGGGACCACGGATATGGCGCTGCTGGTTAGGCGCTAGGGCGAACGTAAGCAATTGTTGAGCACATCGCCGTTTTCAATGATATTTATGTCACCACGATGGCGACGAGTAGCTTTAAACAGCAGATAAAATTTACAACGATCCGTTGTCCGAGCTATCTGTGTGATTCAAAAGGTCCTTCCAAGCTTCTGTAGTGTTGTGGATTATATTCTGACCGAACAAGCATGTTGACGTGCATGTTCTGCCTCCAGCAAACAGTGAAAACAGTATTAGTGCTTCCGTGAACAATTTGCCAGTGCCATTTTGCGCCAAGCTTGTCATACTCAACAGAGACAGCCTCGATAGCATTAGGGCTGCGGGTTTCGGGATTTCAAACATTATATTTTGCGACTTGAGGTATTCCCACCGGTTGATGCTAGTTGCGAAATGTCGGCATGTTGTGCATTGTCGTGCTGGTAAAGCCCAGAGGATGTCTGCTCATTTAGAACCCCGAGAGTAGCAGGCACAAGTGGAACTCTATGCATGGCGCGTGGCACGCGGCTCCAGGTGTAATGTTTGCAGACCGGCAACCACATGGACCGCATGGAAAAAGGATGAAACTTCGTATTCTGCTTTTCTGACAAGCATTCTGTTCGACATCGGGCACCTAATGGCTTAGCAGCCACATCCAGCCAGGTATTTCAACGTAGGTTTGGTGCAGCCTCGAGTGACAAAGAATGAGACGCGCGACCACAAATCAATCTTCGGGCACCGTACTCAGATGCGAACCGGTTCTCGCAGTCAGGATTGGCAACTTTAGACAAAAAGCAGTCGTGGATGAAGGCGTTCCTGATGATCGGCGGCGCAAGACATTCGACGAGCATGTTGACGTGATGCTAGTCCATTTCAAGGATGTGGGCAAACTTGTCACAAGCTGGTTTTGCACATCTCGCATGACAAGCTGTAAACACTGGAGATGTGGGACTTGTGCCCTGGTTTTGCGCCATTGTTTGTAAAGGCAGTGAGCTCCGACGGATTCGCGGCCACAATTTATTGAGCATGTGTGTGGGAGCTGTGTTCCCAGATGTTTCGAGTAAGCGAGATTCCCATGAAGTGGTGCATCTTACCGCACACAGTCACATGGAATGTTCCGTGCTGTGGATTGACAGAAGTGCTTCGGGAAGGAGCAGCTGCTGCGGGCGCATGAGCGCGAGATGGGATGGTTTTTGGGTTCGGGGGGTTCATCTGCCGGCTGCACCCCCAGTTGTTCGGCAGGGAGGGTACAAGTCCAAAGTGCACTGAGATTTTGATTTGCGTCTCGCTCAGGTAGCAAAAAGCCAACTCGTGAGCAAGAATTCATGTCGCCGATTTTGACGTCCTCACTGGCCTTGTCGGACGGTCCTTGGTGGTGAGCTGAGGGACTGCGCTCTTGGATTCAACGGATCCGATCACCGTGAAGTCGCCTGCTGAGGTCACGAGCTACCCTTCCGGGGCAGTCTACTCTGCAACCAAAGCCTCCGAAATGCAGCGGTGAAGCTGCAGTTGAGAGGGTGACCAGTACCAGCAGCTACGTGAGCTCCAGAGCTTCACGACGGTCGAGAGTCCGTGCCATTGCAGCCGGGGCCAAAGACCGCAGCCTGCTACATTCTGATAGTCCGGCACCGAAGGACATGAATGTAGTTGTTGTCCTTACGCATTAGGTGGACATGAAATATGTTTTGGTAAGCGTGCTGTAGATATGAATTGTTGACCCGTAGGCCTTCAAAGCATGGTTTCAGTGTAGGCTGTGAGAGCGGCAGGATGAATGATTGAAGGCTCGATACCTCGCCTTTCGTGTAGCACTTTGTAGAGCATCCTTCACTCTAACCTATCTGCCATCTTTGCGCTTTCGCAAAGACACATTACATCCTTCCTCTGGCGCCAATCGCCGAAGCGATCGCCGCCCGATTCCGCCCGCAATGAGGGAGAGGGATCACACCAGGTTGATGTTCAGCACCGGTTTTCTGGTTCCGCCGTTTCGGCACGCTGGGTGTACGCTGACATTATGTGGAGTGCATGCTCCAGCATCCTGCCACGACGTGTGGAGCCGAGAGGCAAAACTGCGGGAATCACCAGGTTTCAATCCCGCTTCGCGTCATTACCGGTGCAACATACAGGCACTGAAGCATCTATCAGTTGAAACATGTTACACTACATCCTTTAGATTTCTCTAGCGCCGATAGCCGAGCGATATCTGCAAACCACGTTTTATTCCTGTGCCACGCCATTGCAACCGGGAGCCCGGCGGATGGTCTGCACAGTATGCCAAGAGTTCTTAGTGGCTTGATGAACGCCGTCGTGCGACTACGAAAAAACAGTTGCCCCAGGTGCCAAAATTTTCCAGACCCTTTGAGCAGCCGCAATATTTCGTTTCCCCCATGCGAGAATTTGCTTTCTTTTTTGGACTTGAGTGAAAGCTTTTCGGAAGTTTCCGCACCCATGACAGAAAAAGGGGCCGAGCTCTTTTGCTTCTGACCGTCGTATCCCGGATGGCAACATGTGACCGAGGCACTTGGCGAACAAGGGTCCGACGAGGCGCCGAAACATGACCAGTAGCCCCACTCATCGTTTCAGCAACAAGTCGCTTTGAGAGATTGCGTCCGACTCCAGCAGGTAGTCCAGGCAGCAGCAAGAGCAGTGGCTGCAAGCCAATTGCGGACGAGCTCCACAGCATCATCCATGGTCTCACAAGGTGGGTTGGATTGTCCGAAGTCAACTCTCTTGGTGTGGCTGACTCGTGGGGCCAGCTTGTTTTTGCAGGAACCGTTACAACTCTGTCTGAAACCACGGCCAACAGAGTCGTGCTGAACTGGGCAGACATTACGACACGCCTTTTGATGGACAGTGATGTCCCCATGTGACTCTGCCGAAAACGTAACGGCACCAAAACTGCCGACAACATGATTTTAAAGTGCTTTCTGTTTCTTTGGGAAATGGTTGGGACCTGACTGAATGTTGTTGCTGTCGTTTCTGCCTTAGGTTCAACCTTCATCCGCGTTGGAACAGCACGGCCTCCAGCACTTTGACGCCGCGAGAGCTTCGTGATTACGATGGGGACAACATGCGTGCATCGAGATCTTTGGCTTCAGCGTCGATGGATTATGAGCCAAATCCGCAATCGGAAGGCGCGTAGATCGTTTTGTGTATCGGTGTGTTCTATTTTGTATGTAGCTAAGTTCGCACGGCAGGTCCAAGCGATCGGCGCAAGTTGTGCAGCATCCATCCACATTCAAACGCCAGATTGGCAGCTTTGTTTCATTCTGTGCTGCAATGTTTCTTGCAATTTTTTACCGTTGCAGTTTGGGACCTTGCACGGTTTTGAACTTAGGCATGGACAGTACTGACATTCTTAGCATGGACGTTCGAATTTGTGACAGTTCCGCTTGAGCTCTCCAGCGAAATTTCCATTTACAATCGGCCTCTTCTCGCTTGGTGTCTGATGTTCATTTGGACGCTGGACATCTTCCTGAGCTTCCGCACAGGTGTTTATGTTGAAGGGCGGCTGCACATGGACTTCAGGACGATAGCACGAGAGTATGCCAAGTCATGGCTGCTACTTGATTTGAGTGTGGTCATCGTTGAGTACGTGGCGGTCATTACACAACAGATCACTCCATCATCAGTCTCCTTGCTGCGGAGCTTTCGCTTCTTCCGGCTTGTGAAGATGCTGCGCTTCAAAAGGCTCCATTCAATGCTGAACGAGATACTCTTCGAGCGGGCAAAGGCGTGGCACCAACCGTGGGCTGTGCTTGTGTTTTAGTCCGAAAGATTGCAGGTATTCTGGTTTTCTTCTGATGTTCTAGCTTGCTCATAGGAGAGAATCTTCGTTGTTTCGGATCGCACGACACCGTATTTTTTTGGGCTGGGCACGGTGTGGCAGGTTCTGACGGTCAACATCTCGGTGTTCAAGACATGCTTGGCCTACCTTGCTGGCCTGCACATGCTCGCTTGCTTCTGGCTCTTCTTGAGGACGTCTACTTCCACAGGCAGGGAGCACTTTGCGGAGCATGGCGTCGTCCTTGGAGAGATGTCTGACACTACACATGCCTACTTGATCTCGATCCACTGGGCTTTGGACTTCCTGCTGTGGTGTGAAATTGACCTGATTGAGTCACAAACAGACCAAGTTATAGCTGCTCTGGCCCGCTTGATCGGCTTCGTTGGCACATCAATATTCTTAGCAAGGATTGCATTTCTGGTGCAGCAGTACGTCGACTCCAGATTGAACAACTTGCAAGATGTTTGCAGTCATTTCCTGGAAACGCACTCCATATCAACGGACCTTTCGGTGAGGATGAAGAAGTTCGTGATATCCTGCTACCAGCAGTCGTGGTTGGAAAGCAAACTTCAGGAGGAGCTCCTGAGCCGAAGAGCCGGCTGAGTCGGCTGTCAGCCATGTCGTGTTGAGGATAAAGGTTCTTACTTGTCTGTGTATGATTTTCCGATTTTCCCGTCTTGTTTCAGGAGCTGGCGCTGTTTTCGAAAATGCCCAAGAGCTTGCAGACGGACTTGTACGAAGAGTCCCGTGGACCATTTCTTGTCAAAAGTGCCTTCTTGTTGGAGTACCAGGACCGCTTGACCCCATGTGTGCTTAGCCGAGTTGTCAATTCTGATGTTGCTCGCGTGGTTGCAGGAGCGTTTTCGACCGTGTTTTCGGCACATCTGTTGCGAAGGGCTCGTTGAGGCCCGGCGAGGTTGACTCGCAAGCCGGGGAGGGTTTGTTCTCGTTGGCCAGTGTTCTGCAAGGCTTGTCTTGCTGTTAAGCTGCATGATGCTGAACATGCTAAACGCCAGAGGCTGACCATGCAGGGTGTCACTGTCATAGGGACTACATAAATGGCGAGACCCGCCGCGATCGTGTGTCGCGCTTGCAATGTGCATCATGCACTCCGTTGTATCACGTCGAAACAGGTTGTTGCACAACGGCAAGAAGTGATATTCTCGAATGGGCATCACAGCACTTCCATGCTGTGCCTCGTATCAGGGATGCAGCTCGGATGCAAACTGATGACTAATGTGTCCTGCTGCCAAAGAACAATCTGCTCTCATGTCGGGCAGCCGCTGCCAAGAGCAGCTTACATGCTTTGAAGGTACAGCTACAAGCTGGCCAGGACCCGTGATGCAATAAGGCTAGTCCTGGGCTGCAGGTTTGGACAGTGGCGTTGGGATTGACAGTGCAACTAGTGCCTAGCCCTATCTCTCTCTGCCAGCACCTGACCCCTGAAGGAAGCACACGTTGTTGGGTCACCTCGGGCAACTTCTTGCACCAAGAACTCTACGGGCGAGATCCACGCCAGTGGGACCTGCGCGTGCGATCTGCGAGATAGCTCTTTGGACCAATTGGCTTCATACTGGCACACTGCAGGCCTGGAGACTTCGCCGTCACATCTCGAAGCATTTTAAGCGTTAGCCACATCTCATGTGACTCGCTTGAGCAGGTCCTGCAGAGCGGTTACTATTACACAGTGTCCGCAGATGTGCTCGGAAATATTTTGGCGGCATACCCAGAGGCCCATCGAACTGCTGTTGCATATGGGCGCTTGGTGGTGATTCAGTTGCACCATGTGCGAAATGATTGTACGGACCTCACGCCCTTGGAGATCGACTTCAGCCAATTGCGCAAGGCCACGGTGGACTTCATGTCGCATTGCGAACAGGTAGTGGTACATATCATGCACCTGTTCGGTGGAGGTCACAGCCCGATTCCTCACATCCGGGCACATGATATTCCTGTCGCATTTCAAGAAGGACTATGGTGGAGTTGCCAGGCTTCTGCCTACCTCTTTCACGAAGTTTGTGTAGTGAACATGTCGCGAAATGGATCAATGATGCTGCCGGAGAGCCGTCCTTGAGAGGGTAACCTTCCCCAGAGCGTGTCTTGAGGTCTTCAGTTTCTGGGGAGCAGAGGTTCTGACGGTTTCTGAATGACACAATGACACAAGCTGATTAGCTGGCGCAGGAAGCTGGGACGGAGGCGGCTCTCATGCAGGATGCTTTAATGTAAGGGCCTTACAGGGGTCGAGTCGACAGATGACAACTTGAATTCGACGTGTCTGCTGCCTGCCGTTTCCATCTTCCACCATCCAAGGAACAAGATCCAAACAGATCCGCATCATCCTGCGCATTATCTTGAGCATCCAGTCTTCTTGGATTCAGAGACTCGTCCAAATCTTTCGCGCATCAGGCTTGGCAAAATGAGCACTTCGGTCTGCGATTCCTGCGGGCAGCGGAAACTCAGGAGAATCTCGAAGATCTGACAAAACTGAGAGACCATATCCAAAAGAGCAAGAATATGGTGATTTTACTGACGCCTGGAATTTTCGAACGTCCTTGGTGCTTGGTAGAGATGGTTTCTGTGCCCTGGCCAGTTTGTGTGATTCGTCCAAGATCTCCATTAACTTCAGACGACTGTGCGGAGCTTGACGCGCATCAACTCTGAGGCTTTCAAACAGGGTAAGAACATCGCCTCCAGCTCAGCATTTCTGTTCAGAGATTCATGGTGCTGCTTTTCATGCACAAGCGCCAGCAGCGTGCAGATGTGGCGTGCTATCTTCCTGAGCTGACCAGGTTCCAGTGGAGATCCAAAAACCCGACATGAAGTTCGAGTATCCAGATGAGGCCTTGCCTGACACGAGTGGAGCCCAGAGAACTCCAGAAACTCAGGACTTCCTCACCGATCTTAGCTATGGCGTCTTTTTCTCAGAGACAGCGCCTTTCCAGCACCCGTTTCCGCGAGCAAATCAGGGCGTGAAAGCCGCAGCAGGCTGTTCCAGTTGTCGATCTGCCGTCGGGAATACAAACACGGCTTCGCGGGGCGGGTCGTTTTCAGGTGGACCGGCAAACCTACCAAGGCTAGATCTCGGTTGAAATCAGGACAAACCAAAGAAGGCACTTGACTTTAATCTTCGAGCCTTGGCTTTCGGAGCTTTGGTGAGGATGCCAGGCAGTACTTGCAAATGACCGGAGCATTGGGGCTCGTCTTTTTCCTGTTTCGTTTTGCTGTAGGCATGACAGTGGCAGGAACTTTGTCAAATAGCCAGCCAATGTCTTGACTACAGCAGAACAAATTTGTGATTATGACTTTATGGACTGCCGTGGAATGCCCCGTCAGCAGTCTTTCATGTTGCCGTGGAATGTCATAGTCCACCTCGAAGTTCAACGAAGGACATGCAGATTTTTGCTGTCGAGCAGATCGAGCTGAGTGAGATCGAGGCCGCAGTGGTCAGTTTCAAGACGTTGTGATGCGATTTTGCGCTCTTTCTCGGAAGGCAGCGATTCGCCATATTCTCACCAAGATTTCGGTTACCTTCTCGCCCCATAAAGCCAGCAGTTCGGCAGACACTTAAAGCAGGTTGGACACATCATGAGCACTGCAAGCCGGCAATAACGAGCTCCTGAGGTTCCATCAGAGACGTGGAGATCAGGGCCATCTTGCAGCGATGTACCATGTAGTTCGTTGCGCAGAAGGTTCTGGTCTGGTCCCGGAACCCTGAGAGGTTCCTTTCAACATGTCACAGCGCAGTGCTACACACAAAGACCGGCTACATGCCCGGGTTAGCCTGCACTTGTGTTGGTTTGCATGTGTTGCACGGGCTGCAAAGACAAGAACATTCAAACCTTTTCAGCTGAAAAGTTAGTTGAGTTTCGACAAGCTTCGGTGTTCGTATGCTGAGGGTGCTCGTTCATGTCAGGGGCCTACGATATACCCAACTTGATCGGTTCTTTCGGCCTGAGCAAGTGATTGCTTTGCACATCCGGCCTTCCTTAAAGGAAGGTCTGTTCACCTGTTCCTATTTTTCACGGATGAGCATGAAGCTGCCACATAATCGCCTTTACCAATCCTTTGCTGCACCTGTGGATCCATCAGTTGTCCCGTTTTCGACAGGTCATGCAGACTTGTGTTTAGCCAGGCGATGGCCCCGACATTGAGACATTCAGCATCCGTTTCCTGGAATCGTTGTCCCCCGACCTTCCGTCTTACGCGGACTGCAGCGTTTGAATGGGAGGTCTGCCAGGACTTCTCGAAGACTCCGCGTCTTGCAGAGCTCCCTATAGGGCACACCTGCAAGCCTAGCGCCTTGACCTGCCTAGATCTAGCTCCGAAACCTTCTCTGTCACAGAAAAGTTCTGAGCGAGCAAGGAAGTTTCTGTCGGAAGGGGGAGGGAGCGGCTGTTGGTGGCAGGACTTGTCAAGTCGGTGTCCTGAGAGATCCAGCACGGCTCAAGCAACCATGGCGCTCAAAATCTCGACTGGCAGTGCCCAGCTTCCCGAGCTTCCAGGCGCGGAGTGCATTTCCACTGCTTCGAGATTGAGCGGTGAAGGGATCCCAGCCAGGCCAGACAGATCGCTGTCAGCAGGGAGGCCGGTGCCAGAGGGCTTTTGACTTTACCCCACATAAGGGGCTGATTCTGCAAATCTGAAGCTCTTTGACACTGAAGCTCAAGCTTGGACATCTGTTGTGGAGAGTTGGACATCGCATGATTCAGGCTGACAGTGTGTGCAAGCAGGGTGCTGTCACTACTGTGGAAGGTGTTGCGGCTCCAATTAGGCCGGAACCCAAGCCTTTTCCTGTGATGCTGTGTTGCATGCCATGCTTGTGCGAACTATACATCTGCTGCTCTAGCCGAAGCTCAAGCCGTTTTCTGCGTCATGCGGGAGGGACATGTGCGGGACATGTCTGGAGCATGCGCCCGAACCGGCCGGAGGCCGATGCTGCAGAAGGAGCCCTTGGTAGGATATTGTATTTAGCTGCGGTGTGATATGGCGATATGTATCAAGTTGCGTCGGATTCGTGATGTTTTTTGCCTCACGTCGTCTTGGTGGTCGTGATCGTCGTGGTTGTTGTGGTGCAGCAGCTCGTCTATGTTGCAGACAACGTGGTATTTTTCAGGAATTGGGCCAACCGCAGACGCAGCCTCAGCACATCGAACATGCTACCCAGTAGAGTGGTGCAGGTGGAAGTAGTGCGGAACGCAAGTGACACGATATGGATACAGAGAGAGAGAGAGAGAGAGAGAGAGAGAGAGAGCTCTCTCTCTCTGTACAAAGGGGACATCGTTGAAGCCGAACCCCTCACGTAGTTTCACACCAACATACCGGACTCGGACTCAGGCGTAGCGCGAGAGCGCAGGGTGAGGGGTCTGAGGGCCCTTTACCCAAACGCCCAGCAAGCAAGCAAGCGAGAGAGAGAGAGGGAGATGTCTTCTGAAGTGGTGTGATTGATACTGTAGGAGTCGGAGATGCAAATGGCTCAGGTACCTGGCCAGTCCTCGCTCCGCTGCCCAAGCGCTGCGAGAGCTTGCACGCCAGAAGCGCTGGAGCCAAGCGATAGAGGCGGGGGACTGCAGTGGGTTCTTGGGAATGTGGTGTAGGGTGGACGGAAGCGTATTGAAGTACTTCGCTTTCGTCCTGTGCTAGCCTCCTGCAAATGCGTGTGCGCAAAGCATGAGGCCACCGTGCCTGATGACACGTGTTGATTTCCTGGAGGTATTTCATGCAATGCAGGAGACGGCCATTGAGGCAAATGCATTTCATTTGAGCAGCGTCCGGCCCTGACAAGAGTCAAGTCTCAGTATCTTTGTGGTGCTGCATGTGCTGACACCAGCATAGGGGATCGACTCTGATCCGAGGTCATGAGTGCTTGTGAGAAAGCATCGGCGTGGCAACACGCCTTGGGCATGTTCTTCGGGTGCAGTGCTTCAGTAACTGCGTTGCAAAAAGAGAGCGACTAAGACAAAGAGCAGCAGTGAATAGGCACCGTTTGTCCTAGTCCTAGCCACCTAGTCGATTTGAAAGAGAAGGTAGCGTGCTTTATCTTTCAACTTACGTGAACGAAGACGGGGAACACGAAGGGGGTTGGGTGTTCACGGCTTAGGACTCAGCTCGAGACTGTTCGTTGTCGGGACCTCCGAAGCCTTTAGCACTGAACCCCCAGCCTCTTGGTTTCTTCGGCACCGCAGGCTGAGCCGTTCTAGGTTGACCAAACAGGTGCCAATATCCAAATGCCGGAAAGAGGTCACAAACAGGTCAAGTGGCGAGAAGAGGGCAGAGGAATAGAGGGAAGAAGGAAAGCAAGAATTGCAAGGGAGGGGCTTTCCCGCGAGGAAAGAACAACAAGTCTGCAAGAAAATGGAAGAAGCGGCGGAGAGCAGAAAATGCCGATATACGGATATCGCATGGTTCCTGACATGAAGACTTTCACAATGCCGTATCATTGTAGATTCGATCATGGCTGCCTCGGGCGTGTTGAGACGGAGAGGGGCAGAGAGGCAAGAGGCTCTCGGAGTCAACAGTAGCAGTATTAAAATAGAAATCATAGTAGTAGCAATACTCCTAGTAGTACTACGGGTAGTAATACCAGTAATACCACGAATAGTACTACGAATAGCAATAACAGTAATACTAGTAATAGTCAAAAAAACCGTCTCGCCCGCAAAGGTGGATCTGGACACTGTGTGTTTCAACGCGGCCATCAGCGCTTGTGGCAGATGCTGCCGGGCCGCAGAGTTGAGCTGCCGAGCTTGAGGACCCGTGCATGCAACGGTCCGCGAACCCAGAAAGATCGCACAAACCGGCTCCTTTTCGATTTCTTGGGCCTTTTAGAAAGGAAACGACAGGAAGCAATTCCGATTTGTAGCTTACTCTCATTTTTCAGCTTGTTGTGGTGACTTTGAGCCGCCATCAAGCTTCTCTGCTGTCATGCGGGCCCCTGTTCCCGAAGGCGCTACGCTGGCAAATCTAAGCCGCTCCTTTTCCCAGCCTGCATTCTAAGCGTCTCTGCATGGTTGTGCCCTCCCAGGTGTGCAATGGCCCACTGCGCTGCAGCTGCTCGATATGCTTTCGGCAAACTCCCAGCCCAACACAGTCAGACGCTGGGCCATGTTTGAACGTCAGATTAGATAGGTCAGACTTCGCAGACAGTCTTCATCCGGTCGCCTCAGCCAGCCTTGTGCTTTTGCGTTCTTGGAGGCTACAACTCAACCATCAGCGTTTGCGGCAAGTCCAGCTGCTGGGCAAGGGCGCTGTGGACCTTCACAAGCATGCGTGGTGCGAGGACTCAAGCCGTGCTGCAGTGCTGCGCAGAATCTTTGATGGGCCCAGCTTGGCATGGTACAGGATTGACCAAGACCAAATCAGTGACTCAGCTTTGAAACCGGGCATGCAATGCACATGCTGTTCTTGTCGTGCATCACTTGATGTCTGGCCTGTGCCTCTATCTTGCCTCGATTTGTTGGTTTTCTTCGGGTCGTGGCCACTGTCTGTTTCTCTCCCCTGTCCTGTGCTCTTGACAGAATTCGATAGATGTTCCTAGTCCTGCAGGCCATAATGCCGTCATCAGCGCGGGGGAGTGGGACCGAGCCCTGATGCTGCTGACATCAATGAGCCAACACCAGCTGGCCCCGGATGTCGTCAGCGCACCGGCAACACATCGTGGCGACGTGCATTTTGGTGGCCGTGCTGCCTTGTGCAGCATATCGCAGACAGCACTAAGGCTATGGAGCCACGATCAGTGCTTGTGAGAAAGGCGGCCAGTGGCAGGCAGCCTTGGCCGTCCTTCAATCCTTGCTTGAAGACCGCTTGGCTCCTTCAGATATTTGTTGCTTGGCTTGTTGTGGCTATTGTCTGCTTAACAGTTGACATGCGAGTGTAGCCGCTAGCTGCTAGCCTGAATCAAGGCTGGAACGCGGCAATCAGTGCTTGTGAGTGCCTTTGTTGAACCTGACTTTGCCAAAATGTCCTCTTGGCCAGGCATGTCAAGACCCATGTGCCCTTGCAAGGAAGTGCGGGCAGTGGCAGGATGCTTTATTGCTTCTGTTTCTAAGCTGCAGTGTTTCCACGTGACAAATTTCTCCACCGAAAGTTATACGACACCTCGCTACATGCTTCCTTGAAACTAAGGGAGTCCATGCCCAGCTCTGGGGTGACTCCAGATGTTGTGAGTTGCTACCTGAGTGCTTACAATGCCACAGCTCCGGACCGGGTGTGTTTAGATCTTGAGTCGCAGAACCTGGCAGATTGAAAATCTCAGACATCTTTTCCTCAGGTTTCAATGCTGCAATCAGTGCTTGTGCGAAGGGCGGGCGTTGGGAGCAAGCCTTGGCACTTCTGCGACTTGCGTTGCACGTAGACTCTGCAGGGCTTCGAAGCTCAGTTTTTTTTCGGGGCTGACGCCACGGCAATGTGCTGTGTTTTACTCTGCAGCGTGAGGCATTCCGCAACGCGCGCGGAGGTCATTACATTCAATGCAGCCATCAGTGCATGTGAGAAGCTCTTGCTGCACCAGAGAAGACCTTTGAGAACTGAACTGTTTGGCTCTGCTTTGGGCAACAGTTTCTCTGCTTGTCGCCTCGGCCCCTTTCATCCCAAGGCAAAGGCACTTCCTCACATGTCGCAGGATCAGAGTTCAGGAGGCCTAGCTTCTGTAGATCTGTGCAGTGCTTCGAACTTCGGACCTCTCCGGCCATGGCACGTCTTCCTCTGCTCCCGCTCGCTGTGGCCGTTGCTTCGGTCGCTGCTTTCTTTCACGCGGCCTGCTGGATCTCCAGCCCCGGCGTCACCTTGAACCTTCGCCACTCGCGGGTGTGCCGCCAGGTGCCCCGTTTCTGTCTCTCCCAACTACTGCCTTCCCGACTGCGATTGTCCAACTTGGCAGGCCGTTGATCCAGGTGATTGCAAGGCCGTCCGCGCCGACGCAGTCACTGGAGTTCTCCTGCCCGATATGGACGCAGACGAGCCTGCCTGGCTCTCATTTGTGATCTCCCGCTACCTGGATGAGGCCGGGAGCTTGGAGAACAGAATTGCCAGCTCATGCAGAACCTCTATCTGTGCTGTTTGGTGATCTTGTTTCGAAGAGTTGCAGGAATGTGCATGTTGCTGCAGCAAATTTCATCAAGGGGATCAGTCGTCGACCCTGAGCCCCTGAATGCATCACAGACGTCAGGAGTGGGTCGAGCAACCGGTGCACAAAGAGATTGGAGATGCTGTTGCGAAGCTCTACACGCAGGCACGAGACGCAGGCGGGCTTGCCAGGATGTTGGAAAGAGAAGGTGCTCAGTGTGAAAGGGTGCAGGTTTCAGATTGAGCCAGGATCATGCTGCTGAAACTTCGCCCATATGTCTTGGAAGAGCGGGAAGGGAGGAATTGTTGCAGCATGTTGCAGCTGGTGGAGGCGACAACGATCTGGTTGCAGTTCTCGCGACGCTCTCCTATGGTTTAAAGGACTGCCAAGTCGAGGCAAGTTGACATGAGAGATGAGCCACCAAAAGCAAAATCCCAAACTGAGGATGGTGGTAGATTCCTGAACAGAGGTCTGTTTCTGCAAGACGTCTTGTCGCCCACGACCGTTTCAGCTGCTTGTCCAGTTTACGGCCAAGCCACCAGCACCTCGATCTTGCGAAAAGACTCCAACGGAAGGTGCTCCGGCCAGATGGAGTAAGCAGAAGGTCAATCACTGAAAAGCATGGATAGCCAATACGCAAGTAAGCCGAAAGTGTGATCGCATGCTTGGGAGGTGAGTAGGCAACAGGTCTTGGCGTTGCAGACTTCTACTCATGTCCAAAATAGCTGAACGACCTTGTCCCCTTGCAGGACATGTGGTCCAAAGCTGGCTTCACTGAAGCCTTCGAAGGCCCCGTGGACGTCGCGAACCGCGTTGCAGAGCTGCTAATGCTCAAAATGGGCGTTTCGGCTAAATCCGCCGTCGCCTGAATCCGTGCCTGCCTGCCTGTGCGAGTGTGCGAGTCGAAACCCTGAATTCTGCATAAAGATCCTGTAGCACCCCAAAACCCTCAAGCCCTGAACCCTAAACTTTAAAGCTAGGCAAGTCCGAGTGTGAGTGCTTAAAACCTTAAGCCCAACCCCTTGAAGCCCTCAATGCACCCAAGGTGGCGAAGTTTGGAGCTACGGCCGCAGCAACTCCGAGGTGCAAGAGAAGATGAAGAAGCGCCTCGAGGAGTACGAGGAGGTGGGCTAGGGTTCGCTTTTGGGTTCCATAGGGGTCCTATGAGGTTCATATCAGTGGGTGCATCACAGCGTGCGGTCAACGTAAATCACACGTCCTGCAGGCCAGGAAGCAGCTGAAAGCAGCGTGAGTAGGCGCCCTGGAGCTTGTGAAGCGTGAGCAATACCCAGTATTTCCAGGAGCAAAATTAGGGTGAAGAGGCGGCTGGGAGGGCAGGCATGATGCATCGTCAACTGCCCTGACGATGCCGTGGTTTGCCAATCTGAAGCTGTTGATGTTGCCCTGGGTATAGTTAAAGTCTACCCTGTCGCCAAGCCGCCAGCACCGCAGCCCGATCACCACCGGCTGATATTTAAGCGCCGGTGTCCTCAACAATCTCATGTAGTTGTTTTGAGCGCCTCGCATGAAGTCTGGATGGCTGAGATTTGGGGATAGCTGGAACCTGCAGCTCTCACCGCCCCCATCTGAAGTGGCAGTGATCTCAGGCAAGGTTGACTTCCTGCTGTGGCCATCCTTGGCCCGAACCCCCTGAAACGCAGGGCTGAGGCCAGGATTTTCTACCTTCCCGGCAGCGCATTTCGCATTTCTCAGCCTCTGAGGCTCTCCCCCTGCTGTCCTACTCAGCTTTTCGGATTCTATGTAGCACTCTTATGTCCTCTATTGGGGCCCATGAGGTTGTCCACAGGCTCAGAAATTGCAAACTTTGCCCAGCGTATCGGTGCTTCTTTAGGCACCGACTGAGCCAGACCCACATGCTGCGAAAGGAAAAAGCCTGGGCTGTTGCATTTGGATGGAGGCACCTAGACTGGGACAAGCCGAGGAAGGCTGGTCGCTGGCAGCATGCGCTGGCCCTGCTGGCCGTCATGCCCGTCGCTTGCCTGTTGCTGCCTTCCTTCGTACTTCTTCCGCAGCATAGAGCTGTAGCCACACCCAAGGAAAAAAGCATCCGCCGTGACGTGATCACCTACAACTCGGTGATGGCAGCACTGAAGAATGCCGGCCAGTGGGAGACGACGATGCAACTGATGCAGCTCATGTGCGCAGCCGGTATGCCCTTGAGAACATCGACATACGCGAGGGGCTAATTTGTTTGCGGGCTTTGCGAAGGTTCTTACGTACTTGACTTGCGTGTTTGCCCCTGCCATGCTTTGGCATTTAGGATGTGGACGGTGCTCATTGCATGGTAAGCTGTTGTGCACGTCGCTTGTCGCGGCTCAAGCAGCCTTTCCCAGATTGCAAGGGCATAGAAGACCCGCGGGTCTGCTGTGCATCCTTGCAAACAGATTGGTTCATCCAGCTGAACAGATGTTGTCCGATGGTCGGCAAACGAGCGTCAACACTTCCGAGCATGAGGAGGAGAAGACGGAGGAGGCACGCTACCAGGCGTCTTGTTGGTTGCTTTGAGTTTTTCGAACGGTTTGCGGCTTGGATGATGCAGTTCGGCGCACCACATGGCACCATCCGGGCTGCAAGCCTCGCAGTGTTGACAAATATGTCGAGAATGAGAGATAATGAGTGCCAACATGCACGAGCGCAGCACCACGATCCGCCTGGAACTGGCACGGCAGTATATGCTGTGCTGTTGCTGTGATACAAAGCTTGGGCAGCCTACTGTAGCGGGATCCATCATCCGAAAGCCGGAGTCATGAATCAGTTTGCGTCTGTGACGGTGTGGAGCAATAGTCTTGAGAAACTTGTACATCGGCTTTTCTTGACTTCCAGAGTCTTGCAGGGCTTTGACTGTTGTTACCATCTCTTCCCGAAGCACAGAAGCAAGTGGTTTTGCTCACAGCAGAGCACCGCAGACCAGTGGTGCCTGGCGGTGCCGAGCAGCAGAGCCGAATCCTGAGAATATCAACCGTGCTGTGTTCGCTTTGTCAATGTGAAGGTATTTTCGCTTTCTGCCAGGAGGTAGTCAATGTAGCTGTTTCTTCGCGCCCACTTCTCCACCCAGACATTTAGTATCGCTTCTTGTCGATGTGACTGGATGGCATGCTTTTGTGATGTGACCAGGGGAAGGAGCTGGCGGTGTTGATGGTTCAGGTGTCGCTGATGTCCGGTCAAGAGCTGCTCGGTGATTGCATGATTTTGGGCTTGATTGGACGGGTTGATTTTGATCCTCGATCCGCATTGTCCTTTGTGGCTTGCTCCGCGCTCCGTGCATGATTTCAGGCTAGGATATCTGGAACGTTTGGCCTTTGGTTCATGCAATGTCTGGCGAGCCATAGCGACTAGTGTGTGAGTAATGTGTTGCAGGTATCAGAGTATCAAGGCAAAGAAGAGCGTGAGAATGCTCGCACGTGTCAGAATCTTCTGAACACGTTAATTTCGCTAGAAACGTCGAGGAACGAGGACCACTTCTTGAAGAGCTAGTTTGTGGCCACCGTTACAAAGAGACTGAAGCGGCTCATCCAAGGCTGGAGCCTGTGCAAATCGTCGCCAATCAGACGGTGATCGTCATGTGTCAGGAAGTCTTGCGCCAGCTGGTTCCATCGGTACAGCGAATCAGTTTGCTGCACGAAGGGACGCTTGGAAGAGACTTTGCTCTGTAGGCTTGCGCCTTCCAGGCTACTTCTTGTGAATTGCTTTCTGTCAGGAACGTCCTCCCCATGCAAGCCACGGTCGGATCCTGCTTAAGAGACGGGGATGCGGTGACGGTCCTTGTGCGGCCCAATGCCTTGATGCTGCAGCAGGCGGATTCTGGCAGGATGCAGGGTCTCAGGATGCTTGAACGTGGAAGGTCTTCAGAAAACGAGACAGCCAATGTCCAGTTACCATGGATGCCATCACTTGCCGCAGGCTGACCTCGACACAGGCTTGTCAACCCGTCTCGTCGACGGGGCGCGTGAGGGCCTGAGCGGGCGAATGACATTGACAAAACTGAAGTTGTTGCATCTAGTTGCTGAGGCTGGGTGGGCGAAACCCTGGTCATGGACAGTGTGTTGGCATGCGCTGCTCCTCGCTGGGACGTCGTTCCGGACATGCAGAAGAACTTTGCCGTGGAAGCAACCATCAAGCTGTTTGAATGGCCAAATCCTGAATGGAGAGGCCGGGTGTATGGAGCCAGAAGCTTGCAATATAGTCGCGACATCCTGCTTTGAGGAACCATCATTTCACAGCACGGACCTGGCACGGGCTGGGAGCTGCGCTGTGGAGGCTGGCGGGGTTCTCGGGCTTCTCGGGCCCGGCGATTGTTCAAAAAGCAATTGTGCTTCGGAGTTTTTCTGTGATCCATTGTGGTTCTGTGTGTTTATGTCCGGACCGTTCGCAGTTAAGATGTAGCTGTGAATATGGAGGGAATGCATGTCAGCGCATCCGCACCCGCTGAAGCTGCCAAATGCATGGGATGGCGACTCTGAATCCGGCATACTGTGGGGTGATGACGCACGCAACGATCCTCAACCATCTTCGTTGTGCATTGGCCGTCCTCGCGGTTGTCAGTATTCAAAAACTGGAGGGTTTGCCTCAACCAATCCGATCGGAGTGATTGCACACGGCTTACCCGGTGCTTTGCGACATATGTTGACACGTTCTACATCTCGTTGTCCATTTGCCGTGCCTGAACATGTTCAACCAAGTGCCGTTGAGTGGGTCAGCGATAGCCATCATCACCACCACCATCTGCAGTCGCAGCACGTACGTTCGTCATGGGGGGCTTTCAGCTGATGTTGATCGTGATCGTCATTCGGGTATGTGGTTCGAAGACTCCACTTGTCAGCGCATGTTGTATATACATGGACATAGATTATAGTACGGGGGTGTGGGTGTGTGCGCTGCTGCGACGGAACTTCTTGTCAACTTCGGCTGCGAAAGCAGCAGGGTAGAACTGAGCTTTTCTACTGCATGCGCTGTGACCACTGGGTGTGTGCCGCGTGCCCAGGATCAAGTGTGACGGCGCTTTTCACTACTTCACTTGGGGGGCACAACGAGCTGATCATGAAGTGGGAGTCCTCTGCTTGCACGTATTTTGCTCTGTCACACCTCGCCAATGCATGCTTTCTGGACATGCAGATTGTTTTATGCAGCATGGTCCGAGGCGACGGGGTACAGGAGCGTGGCATCATGTTTGTATGATCTACGAAGCCGAAACGCATCAGCTCATAGTGCGGCCGGGACGAACGAACCTGCTTGCTGTACGTGCTTAATGGGAGAGTGTGCTGGTTTGTGCTTGTGATTGCTTTGGAACCGCTGAGGGTGTGTGACGGTACTGATCGTGACAGCAAGAAAGTGGTCGGAGATTTCCGGCCTCACGACGACTTGGTGCACGTGGGCAGGTACTGTCACGGGCCGAGCCGTAAGATGCACGCTGCATGACCTTGGAAGCATTGTTTAGCCCTGGAAGGAACCCGGTATGGAGCGACAGAGGCATTGTTGGAGAGATCCGAAATGCAGCTGTCTGGCCGGATGGCTTTGGCTTCGGGCTTGAGGATCTTCCGTCCAGGGCCCGTGCAAGGATAGAGGAAGCGAAGGCTTCGGAAGAAGCTCGGAATCGAGAGGAGGAGATCTCTGGAGAGCTGAAGACAGCCGTGGCTTGAAGACTTTCCGCCAACGTGTTTTCGCAAGTGATGTCAGGCCAAAGCCGAATGCAGGATCGTTGCAGGATGCTGCAGGCGCTTGTGAAAACAGGTGTCCCCCGAGTGTCTGCAGTCATCGAGGCGGTGCAGCGCCAGCTGTTGTCACATCATGGCCGCTCAGGTGATGTCGATAGATGCTTGCGGCAAAGCCAGCCTTTGGCAGCTGGCAGTCGACATGATCAGCGACATGTTTCTGCGAAGCTTGCCTGCTGACGACCTCGGCACGCAATTTATGGCAGTTCACCTTCCAGCGAAAACATGAAAGCTAGAGCAAATCGTTTCTATAAATAATAAACGCCTGCCCAGGACTTCTGCTTCCATGCCGCCATCAGTGCTTGCGAGCAGGGCGGCTTTTGGCAACAGGCTCTTGGCCTCGTAGCAGACATGCAGCCGCCCGGAGGCACCTGAAACCCTACAAACCTGGTGATCGCAACTTGCCTGTGTTCTGTGAGCTCGCCTGTGCAGCCAAGGCTGAGGAAGCTGAGACTTGTTGTGCAAATCTGGCGTGCCATCCATCTTTCAAGTCAGGTCAAAGCCTCCCGCTTGCAACTGCTTCCCGGCAGTATGGTGTTGTAAGGAACGCCGATGGAATTTGTTGGGGTTCCGTTCTGCATGCAATGAATTTGGCCGGCAGAGAGGACAGGTCCGGCTGCAGTCCGAAAGTCCTGGCCCTGGAGCCGCAAGGGGTACAAAATAAAGAGTGCCGCTTCGCTGACGTTACGTCGCTCTCTTGAAGAGGACTTGGCCCAGAAAACGCTCGAGAGCTTGAGGCCATAGCATGCCATAGCCATAGATGCTTGGTATTCGTCCTCTGCAGAAAGTCCCTGACTACCTAGTACGGACGGTCTTTCCTAAGTCCGTGGGAGGCAGAGGTGGGCGCAGCCGTCTGCGCGACAAGTGGCAGGGCCAATTGGGCCATGAGCTCGGAATGCTCCCTTTACACCGGAGGCGTTCGCAAAACAAGATGCCAGGACGTCGATGAAGAAGTTGGCTCCAGATGTGTCCCAGTCGCACTGCACATGAGAGTGGTATCTATCTGATGATTAGTGGCTTTTGCTCAGGTTGTGATCGGGGATGGGGTGCTGGCGGTGTTCAAGCCTGCAGGTTGCACAAGCGCGGGGCTCGAAAGATGCTTTTCATGAGAGTGTCCTTCCCTTTCAGTGCCCGAGGCGAAAGCATGCTTGAGCGGCTGTTGGCGAAGTGGCGTGCCAGTGGGTGGCAAGGTGAGCTCACGTCAGTGGCCCAGTTGGCTTGGAAATACGGATTCGAGTCTCATCGACTAGTCACTAGTCTTGGATCTAGAGCTTCCTGACCAGGCTGGTTTCCAGACTGGACCTTCCAACATCTGGGGTGCTTCCGCTGGCCTTGGGTGGCCAAGCCGACGGGCCCACCCAATACCTCGATGCCCAGTACGCTGCCCGGCAGGTGCGCTCACATCTCCATATTTATCTTTGGCCGGGCTTGCTAGGGTTTGGGGGGTCTCGCCGGTCTCGCAGACGACGTGTTGTTGAGCAGTCCTATACTTCCTGACTACCATTCCTTGTCAAGCTGTGTGATCCACTGGTCACCTCTGAGACCGCTCTGTCTGCTTCGAAGCAGCCCACATGTTACCCTGTGGCCTCAGGCCTAAAATGGCCTAAACCCTGAATCCTAAAATCCTAAAACCCTACAGGTCGAGGTGCTCTCTTTTTTGTTTTTGCCAGCCCTTTTTCAGGTGAGCAAGGAGTACCTGTGCCTCGCTGCCGGTCAGTCCCTGGGCCCACGGGGAGCGCGAGCTTCGATCGACACGCCTCTTTTGGTGCCCCTAGCCTTGCAAGTCTGATGTCCGAAAGGGGAGGGTGGTGCATGCGGATGCGGACTCCCTTTTGAAGCTGAGGTCCCGGAGTTGGGGAGAGCGCCTTGGCAAACGAGTTGAGGCATCTGCTGCTGGGAAGCAGGTGGGCAGTCAGAGGGGGGGGGAGACGGTGATCGTTTGGTGTGCGCTGAATGTCGATCCTTGAGCAGGCGCAGACGAAGATCAGGATTCTGGAGCTCTTCGACATTCCGCCGGAACTCGGCGGAGTTGAGGTGCGGGTTTTTCTGGTGTGATTCGAGGCAATGTCCCGTCTTTTGCAGGCCCTGGCGCTTCTTGCAGTTCGGCCAATGACCGGTCGCCTACATCAAATACGATACTTGCTGCATGAAGCGAGATCTCGCAGCCCAAGTCAAGACTTTGTAAAGTCGGTTCCAAAGAGAAGCACAATCAGTCCAGGAGTTCATCTTGCAAGCGTGGGCAGCCCCATAGTCGGTGACAACGCCTACGGTGGACGTTCCCTGCGGCGTCCCAAGATAATAAATATGCAGCTTCGCAGAGGTTGGTTGGTTGTTGTGCTGCAGGGCGGGCAGTCGCCTGTTCCTCCACTGCCGATCCGTCTCCTTGAAAGATCTGAGTGGGTCGCCTTTCAAGCCCAAGTATCCGTTGCCGGAGGACGGGCAGCTCCTGCGATGCGAGCAAGCGAGTTTCAGTTCGGTGTTCCTTGGAGGATCTGCAGCGGGTTCTGGCAGACCTGCGGCCGCGGTCGAAAGATTTGGAAGAAAGAAGCGCCTGTCCTTGCGTGTCACAGCACTCTGTGCGACAGCGTCTTCCTCTGGGGCATGAGCTTGCTACGGCATGAGAATCCACCTGGCCTGGTTGCCTTGCAAGGCCTAACACTCCAGGCTCCAGACCGAACTCTGCAGGAGATGCAACGCCGTTCGGGCCTTGGATTCCTTGCCACGCTGGTTGAGGAAGGGCGTCTCTGGACGGTTTTGAAGGTCGCGATCTGGGACCATGAAGCGCAACAACAGCATGACGCGTCTTCCTGACGAGGCCCATGCCCGTGCCTTTCTCTGGCCGCCGATGTGAGGATGCATTCTGCTAGGCCCCGATCGTGGCTGAGAAGGGTTATTGCCCTGACTCGCCGTGTGGCCCTCAGCATGTGAACAGTGCAAAAGTTTCCAAACAGTCTGAACATTCAGCGGGGCACCATGTAAACTGTTATTGTAGCTCTAGCTTGAGAAGTTCGCAAAGCTGCGGTAGTAGCGTGTCTATGTCAGCATCCTGAGATGAGAGTACAGTCACTGAGTCAGTAACTCTCTCCCTCGCTCGCTGGCTAACTCACTTACCCCTCTGCTGACTTTATCACTGTCTCCTTCAGCCATGCAAGCACTCACTCGAAAACCATCGCCTACACAAATCCTCTCTAAAGCCAGTCGGGAGAAGTTTTCATTCGGCCGGTATATGCTTGCACGAGAGCCGCAGCATGGTAGGCCACAAGCGCTGTGTTCAGGCCTGCTGCACGTCCTGGCTCGGCATCCTCTGCCTCTGCACGGAAGCAGGGCGGACTTCTCACGTCCCGCCCGCCTGCATTACTCAGAGCTCTGAGTTCAACACTGCATAGTGGCACGTAGCCTGATGTTGCGATTGCCAGCGCAGTGTTTCTTGCGGCCAGATTGCCGATCGACACAGCCAGCACGCAGCAGTCTTCGGGCCAGCCCTGCATGATCAAAGTCATGCATTTTTGACTTGGCTTTGCCTCCGTGTTGTAGCACTCTAAGACTCGCGTTGTGCATGCTCAACTTCTTACCAGACAGGATACAGTCCGGGTGCGGGGGCCTTAGACTGTCATCAAGGTTCAAGAGCTTATAGTGAGGAAAAGCTGCGCCAGCTCATGCCTATCCATCGTTGACTGCTCAGAACACGCCTACACGATCCAGCAGCAAGAAGAGTGGCCGAAGCCTTGGGCGTTGCAGAAGTGATAAGATAAGTCTGATGAGCATTGACAGCTGATGTTAGGTGTCATAGTGTTAGCAGTACTGCAGTAGTCCCAGAGTTTAGGAGTAAGAGCTATAAGTGGACATTCGTTTGAACACAAGTGTTTCTATACAATGCCAGAAGTTGTTACAAATAGCAGTGGCCAACGTGTTTGAATGGAGAACAGTCCGGACGAAGTTGCACATGCCCCAACTTCCTAAGTCAAGCGAATCGTACAGGGCGTCATGACCAACCCTCAAGCCGCAAACAGAAAGGTCACCCCGCTGTGCTTCACGCATACCTATGAAAAGAGTCTTGATGAGGAGAAAGATAAGAAGTCAGATTAAAAGCGAACAGAGCGAGTGAAAACACCAACGATGAGGACGACCGCAACATACCAGCAGCAGCAGCAGCAGCAGCAGCAGCAGCAGCAAGAACAACAACAGAAACAACACAGCACCAACAGCAGCAACAACAGCCAGGCAGCACCAATTACAGGAGTTTGATATCAACCATAGGCTTCGACGAGGCCGGGCTATAGTACGGAATCGGCTCAAAACCTCTTGCGATGAGAGGTGCGTGAGTCCCGGTCGTGCGCTGGCGATACGATGGACTCGGCAAGTAGTCATACAAGGAAGAGTGCAAACTCTCCTAGTGATGGTTGTTTCGCTCGGTATCACCTGATCAGGCACGACCACCCCGAGCAGTGGAAGCATGATGCGGCTGTGTGTGGCTGAGCCGTTCGCGATCATCTTATCTGTTTGCTGCTGAAAACTGTGGGTGACGGTGATGACAGTGGTGATGATGACGATGATGATCATGATGACGATGATGATCATGATGACGATGAGGGTCATGTCGGTACGATTGTGGTGATGACCATAACATCGATGTATGGCATTTCTCATGCTTCGCCGAGGCCTGACGAACCTGCGTCGACGGTCCCGAGCCTTCAGGCTCTGTCGGATTTTCCTTCGAGTCGTCAGTCTTGTTTATGGTGGCTCCGGTCTTTAGACCATGTTGCGCCGAAGATGGCCAAACCTTCGTGTAAAGCCTTCACTTTGACACTGTCGGTTGTTGCCAGGCACCAGAGGCTAGCACTCAAAGCGGAAGCGGGGGCAGCGGTGGGGGCGGCGGCGGCAGCGGGATGCAGCGCATCCGAGATCGACTTAGCCGGCGCCCCAGCTTCTGCGGGCCGAAACCCGTCTCTGCAGCAAAAAAGATGGTGCGGGCCTGCACATCTTTCTTTTCTCATGGAAAGAAGCCTAGGCAAAAACCTCTCTGTTGCCACGCCGGTGAAGCCACCGGAGCAGCAGAAGAGCAAGGCCAGTGGGAAGCTTGTAGAATCTTGGGCCTTCTGCTCTCTCGCATTTTCCTGGCCCAGATGGAGAAGATCTTCCGCACCCTGAAGCCTGGCTAGAGCCCTGGATGCCTGGATGCTGTTTCGACTGCTTCCTGTTACTTGTCTGCATGTTCCCGTCTTGTTCCCCCAGGCGAGTCCATAAACAATTCGTACATCTTCGAAGAGGAGATCTACAGTGGAGGTGAGGGGTCTCGGTCTGTGAATGGTGGCAGCAACGGCTCCAACGAATGGCAGGCTGCAAAGGCCGGGTGCTTGCGGGGACGCCCAGGGATGTAGTGAGCCGGGAAGATTCGCATAGATTCTGCACAGCAGCAACGGGCACTGCTTGAATTTTCGTTGTAAAGCCGTTAAGCCGTTACAAGCGAGCTGCTCAAGCGTCCAACTGTTTGGAAAACCTGGCGCTTGGATGTAATGAGGTTGCAAAACGGAAGACTGATGGACAAGAGGTGGTGCCTGCCTCGGTGTTCTTCGAAATAGACTGCCGCAGGGCACCAGGCTCGGAAGTGCGCAGTGATGGGGAACACGCTGCAATCATGAGCAATGATTCTCAAGGTGGTCAAGATCCGCGCCAAGCAAAACAACAGGACGGTCTCGTTCAGCTGATATGTTGCTTAAGCAGATTGAAGCGCAGAACCCCTGCAGGGCAAATGAGCGCAATTGGCGCACCATTATGGCCCAGATGCATGGCATCTCCACAAGCCCCTGTCCCAGCAATGGCTGGGCCGGCTGGGTAATCCAGCAAGGTTGCCTGCTAATTAATGGCTAGCAGCAAGACTTTGATTGAGCGATGCCACACCGCGTGGCCGGGATTGCAGCTCAGGTGACAACGTGCTTGGCTTCTCTGAGATCGTAGAAGGTGAGAACGAGTTCTATGCAGCATCCTCAACAAATTCTCTAAGAGAGTCGAGGGTCGAGTCACTTGTTGCCGTGTGGCCAGCTACATCCAACTGAATCCAACTCTTGAGAACGCCAGATGCTGCGACGGGGTCTGGGTTTCTGCGCAGAATCTACATCTTCTGCGGTTTTGAGACCGAAGGGCTTCGAGATAAAAATCAGCCTTTTTCAGTCTAGAAGGACTCTGTCACATGCTTTTGTGTGCGTGTGTGGGTGGGCGTGTGTGTGTGTGTGTGTGTGTGTGTGTGCGTGCGTGCGCTTGTG